TGTACATCTAGCTTTATATTTTGTTGCAACGTATTTGTGAAACTGCTTGGAAGGTTAGTAGATATATAGCATAGTCAGCATAGTCAGTCTCATGATATCGAGCCACGTGTATGATTGTATACAATTCCGAATGCTGAAATTTCATAACACAAAATAATAACAGCGTATATTTGAAATGTCACGTACATCGAGAATTGTTAACAAAATCAATTGTCCACCAGCAATAATATAAGTTACATGTAGTCACAACAGCTATTCAATATACGTAGGTAGATTGGTACATACGTGTTAGATGCATTAGCAAAAGGCCCTGCGAACAAGAGGCGTTACAACAAGTACTGTCTCTCGCTTGTTTGTGAATGATGCAGCAACACACTTTGCTTTGATTCTCTGAACAGTCATGAATATTGCAGGGTCATCTTTTTCATGGACGTTGTTTGCAAACGCTTTCACAAGAGTGGCAGAATAAGTCGTTGGTGCCACTGTGCTTGGGCAAACAACACCCAGTACATCAACGAAAACGTCATGGATAATAGTATCCCTCCAAGCCAATCATCCATCAAGTCAACAGAAGTGGTACTACCACACCAGTTGGTAATGATCATTCTTAAACGAATCATTTTTATGTGTTTTCAACAGTTGCATATAGCACAGCTTTGATAAATGCTGATATCAAAAACTATTAGTGCACATCATAGATATTGCGGTCTGATCACCCCTGTGCCTGGGATATTAGTATAGGTATTAGAAAACTAAGATGCACTAGTGTATTTGCTCTGAAGATATCTCTATCAGCTTTAGTGTTTACAGTAGTCAAATACACACTCTTAGTTTTGTAACTGTTTGGGTCTGACAATATTAGTATAATATAATAAAGGTTCTCTTCAAAACAAACTGATTTAACACATTGTTGATGTAAAGGTTGCCATTATCAGGGATTAAGACAACAGGAATAGGTTAGTACAGGCAGATGTTCAAAGGTCCGAATGGCCATGGATACTCGTTACGTGTTCTTACCATGCACGTTCTTGGTATCAATAATCGTGTATACGTTCAAACAGATTTTGTCTTCACATTGGCAATTCAAAGTAAAGGAAGATTACCACGGCCACAAACGTTATCGTTTACTTCTGCTCCCTAAGTGTGTACACATATTCTAGTTCTACCAGATCGCTACTCTGAAAACATGGATTATCAGCGTTTTCTTATGTACTCCACATTGTGAGAAGAACTGATGAAACATGTGCTTGCTGTGGACTTACGTATACTGACCTCAGTACGAACAGATATTATCTCATCTAGCTGTGAACTTATTGTTTATATGTGTTTCTTCTATGAAGTAGATTATTAAGTCACTAAAATTTACAGAGAAGAAGAAGAAATATATTTTAATTGTGTGTCCCACATCATATGTTACATTATCATGATCATTTAAAAATACAGTAAATAAAATATGATGCCCAGCCAACAAGGCTTATGAGACACGTTAAAACAATACTTTTACAATAACAGCCTGAATAAAATCATATTGACCTCATCAAACATGAGTGCACTAAAGCGCACATAAAATCTAGCGGGTTCTCCATTTGAAACACAGTCGCAGTGATATTGCAAGATGCGGCTGTATAATGTCGCACTGAGCAAGGAATGCTAACTTCTGTTCTTTATCATAATTTACAAAACAGGGATTTATTAAAGTGGCATCACTGAATAAATCAAACATTAAGTCATCATACTGATTAAATTCAATTAGGAAATGTATTTCTTCTTCTATAACTAAAGTAGTAGTATTATCGGCACAATATTTACATATTCTATCTTAGTAAGGATAAGAATTTATGGATGAACAACTTCTTTATTACAATTAAGAGCGACGTTTCGGTGTAGGTTCTAACACCGTTTATAAAGCAAGTGTCAAGCAATATTCTATCTTGTAGTGGAATGGGAGGCTTGGAGTACCGACCAGTCTCTATAGATATAGGGAGTGATCCACATCTGAACTTAGCAAGATACTTTTGTCTTCTCGCCGTTTCGCGCTCTTTACATAAGAGCTAATATTACAAGTATGCTTAAAAGTTATATAGGTTCTTAATCCATTTCAATTTTCTGTTCTTGAATCATCCCAGATATCTTGAAACCATTTCAATTGATCTTCATATGTCAGAAATTCTTTTAGAAACCCGGTTTTCATCTTAATGCTCCAATCTTCTGTCAGAATCCACCCAGCATTATAATTATGCGGAAGTTTTATGATTTTACTTTCCCATGATTTATTTCTTGCAACTGACCAGTTATACACTTTACGAGGTAGTCTGTATTCCGGCACGATGCAATTTTTAAACGACATGCAAAATAACTCTGTTTTTGCTGAACTGAACAAGATGTCCATCCCATATCTCCTCTTGTGGAAAGATTAGAAGAATGCTTACCAACACCATGGTGTTATCTACATGCTTTATGTTTGATGATCTGGATCTCCTTGTGCACATTTGCATCCCATACTCCTGCATCATAGAACAAGACTTGTTCAACAAATGAGGTATACAAGTTTACAAACCAGGCCTCAATAGATAGATCACATGTGTTAACAATGAAGACAGTTTTCACGGAGACAATGCTTGGTTGTACCAGCTATCTCTGTAAAGAGCGGAACTGATATGGCCCTTGACCCCCGAAGTGCAACTTTTGTGCATATTCGTCTGACAAGTATTTAAGAATCATATCTGGAAAATTAGTTTGGTATAAACTGTAGGTCACAATGATTTATATCAACACGAGAAACGTACGTCGTCACATTTTATGTGCGTATATAGTTAAACTAATGCGATATGAAACCTTTGAAACAATACCACAGACATAATTTACGTATTGTAATACGTTGTTGTTATACATTGTAGGAGATATTTATCCGAAAAAGACGAACAGTTTAATCCCTGTCAACAGCTATGATTTGGTTGTTTATGTAAGTTGTTACAGTGGATTTGTATCAAAGCATGAACTCAGCAGATCCATTTGCCTCAGTCATGCTTTTCTTTTAATAACGCACGGTTCTTGTAAACACACATACCAATATTTGGACACAGCGCCGCACCATTGCTGTTAGGTCCCGATTTCTAGTGCAAACACTCAGATGCATATCTGTTGGTGATTATACGGGAAACGATTATCTTACATAATGAATACATGTTCATGCAGTTTCAACTATATCCCTATCAAAGTTAGTGAACACAGGTTGGTTATCCAACATTCCCACACACGACTACAATCACATTGTAAAGAAGTAGTTAGTTAGCTAAAGTTTGATTTCATTCTCTGTATTTCCATGTCTTTGCTTATCAAACAGACAGGCAATTTATTCGTAGAAAGGCCATGAGGCCTACAATACAATTCACAGTGACGATACAATTCACAGTTGCAATTAATTAATAAACTGTCTAAATACAAAATGAATTGTTTACATCTTTTGTCCATTTAAATTTGAGTAATCATGTGTAAATATTGTAAAAATAATTGTCTTGTCTCTTATCAATAATTACATTGTCTTATGTATCATCACTTACAGGGAGACAAGGTTATGACAAGGCCGATTCGCTTCCTGGGATAGATTACATCCTCTTGTGCAACGAACCATGGCAACGAACCATTTAGTTCTAAGTTTTTATAGCCTCAAAGCAGTTACGTGTGTGAAATTCGAAATAAATAATGAAAGAACATGATATATCAATAACACTTGTGTATACACCTTTTTATTTTATTATCATATGTACTCAAGGTTACCATTCATTTCATATCGAAAACCATATGAAAAAATAACTTAGACAGGCTAAATAAATCTATCCCTGTCGTATTTCATCACAAATCGCTTAGACTTCTTTTTATATATAAAAAGCAAACTAACATAAGAAATGCTAACCTAATTTGCCATTTATACCATAAAGAATGTCATTAATTGAAACAGTCACGATTAAAGTAAGCATCATTTTTGAACATTTAAAATAATGTACATGTAATAACATGTTTAGCAAATGGGTCTCAATATGGACATGCCTTCGATATGACTGTATCTTGTGCTATAATTGCATGTATTCTGTTAAGATAATTAAAACAAGACAACTTTTGACAGGTTATGACACTTAGTTATTGACAACATAAATACAAATAAATATATTGGGCATATTTTGTCCCGGTATATGGAAAGAGGATAATCCCATCACTGTTTGTTCTGTCATGAGAACTGTGACGTGAAAATTCGCCAGTCATTGTAATTTACTACAAACATGACACGAATGTAAATATATTGATATTCGTCACTGATGTCTTTTAAATCACACAAAGTGCATATTATTTTATTAGGTGGGATACATTGCTATCAACCTACTTCAGTTGGCATACAGCATCTACATTAAATGTCATTCCTTTAATATTGATAAATGGCATTCAAAACTTCAAAACTTGTTATAACATTATAGGTGAAATCTTTAGGGGGTATTTATGTTATACAACCATTGGCGTCTTCTAAATCAGTGATATTAATAAATGATATTTCCCTCTTAATTAAATTAAGCGAGAACAAAGATCTGATTTTAATGAGATTGCTCTGAGACCTGCATCACTTGGGGCTTTCCTCCTACATTAAGCTGACATGTCGTGATATAACTGAAATACTGTTCAAAGCTGCGTTAAACCTCACTCATTATTTTTTGCATTATGACAGCAACGTGTTTCCATTTGATGACGTTCGGACAAAAACTGCAAAAATACCTTTAAGGGCGGGGCCCTTTCGTGAACAAAACGGTTCATGAATAATGCTCGGAAATTCGTCTTAGCGGGCATTTGAACATAAGTCTGATTTGTTGCTTTGAAAATGCAAAGAAAGTAGAACGTTCTCAAATTCCCATTCAGCATAAGCCACCAGTTGAGCTGCCTTATGTGTATACAATGTTTCCTGCATAGATATTGAAGGGTTTATGTGTAATACTCCAAAAATAACATTGCCTTCATTTAAACATACATTCTTTTTATTGAAAATAAAATGGTAACAGTTTCCAAAACTCCTGATTAGCAAAAGGAATATGTTTAGCTCTTGCTTGATACACATTGTTTCATGAAGTAATCTTGACTTATTTATGAATAATGCTCCGGCAACGAAACATAGCGGAAGAAAGGGAGAAAACGATAAAACAGTCAGACGGTATAAAGTAAACAGGTATTTTCTTCCGTTGTATTACAGCAGGACATCACAGCTTTCGTTTCAATTAAAGCTATATGAGTACTTTAGAGTTGTACTTCAACTGTGATCCCTGTCTGACTGTCAAGCAAAATGACTATTTAAACAGTCCACACCCCCATTCCTCCCGGCCGCTGCGGATGTTGACTCTACACGAACAAGGTTGTCCATTGATAACCTCATGTCGCACACCAGCCTGACACCGGCCATCCTTGTAGCACACTGCAGAAGAACATTAACAACAAAGTCAACATTGCTGTAGCTTACTGTATAACGTCATAGAATATTAGCCTCCTTAAAAACAATTACAACAATGCAGTAGCTATAGCTTAGTGTACAACGTCATTGTTGCTGCAGGCGACAATATCAGCCTCCTTTAAAACAGTTACAACATTTATATAATTTACTGCACAACAACATAGTTACTGAGGGCGAGAATATCAGCCTCACTTACACCATATACAACATTGATGCAACTTACTGTACAACAACATAGTCGCTGAGGGCGAGAATATCAGCCTCAGTAACATCATATACAACATTGATACACCTTACTGTACAACAACATAGTCGCTGAGGGCGAGAATATCAGCCTAAGTAACATCATATACAACATTGATACACCTTACTGTACAACAACATAGTCGCTGAGGGCGAGAACATCAGCCTCAGTAACATCATATACAACATTGATACAACTTACTGTACAACAACATAGTCGCTGAGGGAGAGAATATCCATGTATACTTATAAAGCATAGGTGTGGTAGTTTACTACTTTATTCGCTCTGTCCATTTGTGCGAGGAGGAAACCAAGTTATAGACCGGATTCACCTTTTGGCTTGCCAAGGAATGATAAGAGTTGTGGGGAATGTCCACATACATATGGGTACACTCGGTATATTCCGCTACTAAGGTGCACTTGGCTTTTCCGCAACCATCATGTGACTCTAAACATTCGGGTGCAATCGACTTATTCCGCTACCATTATGTGACTGAACATTCGGGTGCACTCGACATATTCCGCTACATACAGGCATCAGTACTCACAGGTTTGTGGTGGCAGGACGGAACCTCGGATACACATGTACTTCTTGCAGGTGTGGACGTTCAGGTGGGCCGCTCTGAAGCTGCGTATACACACGCCCTCCGGAGTCGTGCAGTCTGATTAGAAAGTAATATCAACCACAGAAAGTAATATAATTGTAAGTTTTCACCTTTTCTCAGAGACAAGTGCTGAGATTAAACGCAAACCCTTGACCTGCATTGATACTAAACTTGCATGTGACACACAGAGGCTAGTTGCATGTGAAAATAATCGAAAAATTATTTTAAATGCTACTATTTAATGGTTACGGTGGGCTAATAACAGCCATTATCACACTTCATCGTTTGGAAGATAAAACATCAATGAGTTTGTAGTAAAAATGAAATGTCACGTTACCTTGCAAGCTCACGCTCGGCCCTGGTTTGAAAGCGTGTTTGCCACCGCCGATATCGGTACACACAGCAGTTCCGCAGTCATTGTTATAGTTGTCTCCCTTGGCATAGCACGTCCCGTCCTCGGTTTTGCAATCGCAAACTTCAGTTGACATGAAAAATGAACGTGTCAGTGGATATGAAAAATGAATGTGCCGTGTCTATATGGTTATCATGGTATATTAAAATTTGTAATGTCCGTTTGAATAGGAATAAGCGAAGGAGAACGACATAAACGAAATGTCGGAGGTGTTATGTGCATGTCAACTGCCCTGTCCAGTAACTCAAATATTTTTCAGAATACATACAAAACGCGCTACACATACTGACATATAGAGGTTATCACGCGATTGTGTTTGGGGATGGTAAATATCCTGCATTAGGAATTAACATTGTATTTAGCGAGCCTTGGCGAGCTAAATACATAGTGTTTATTCTTAATACAGGATATTTACCATCCCCAAACACACAAGCGTGATAACCTCTTTATCATATAATGTCATTCCTTAATTCTGTGCTTCAAAATCGCTTTCCCTCTCTTACAAACATTACGAGTTTTCCTGGAATGCGCGCATTAATATTTATTACGTCACAGGGTAAGTGATGTGTCAGTCGGACAGTGACAGTAGCCAATATAGTTCCAACTGAAATATGTTTCTTATACAGTGGCGAAGCAACATATACGCAAAACAACAATTGTTTTTAATTGCCTTTCGCGGCAATCCATCGGTCTGTCCGCTAGAGTAACTGCCCTTAGTCAAAGGGAAGCTACTCTAACCCTAGTATATGAGACGTCACGGCCACGGTCAGACGTTGTTAATAGTCTGTCTGTCCTGTCATAACGTTAAGAAGTGCAATCAGATGTACACACAGTGACAAAACGAAACAAGGTTACATTTCAAACATATTTCAGCCAAATCCAACTGTTTTAATTTGTGGAGGAGGTTTCAAGCCGCAGAGGTCTACAAGCACAGATATGGCTACTGATCCCGCATGGCTAGGCCTCGTGCCCTCGCAAAATTGTTTCGAAATTTATATCTCCAAAGTTGCCAAAACTTATAAAATGCCTTATCTACTTCACAGTTAGACACTGCTTTTAAGTACATCAGACTGTTCTTTTGATAATGATAGCAATTATCTCCGAGTTCATCCAGATTCCCGATTGTTAATTCTGACTCGATCGCCGAATGACGGGGGCGACGCCATGTTTGTTTATAAACAGTGAAAGTAGTCCCTACTTGACTTTTGATATTTGCATCTCTATCCGCATATGACCCCAACGGATATCGTTTTTATCCGTTGGCTTTATCCTGCCGAGAAACCTACTCATTATATGATAAACAGCTATATCCCGTTTGTCCGTTTGTAAGATAAGATAAGATTATTGCCTTATATTGCGACGTGCATGCACGTGTTTGTGTGTGTGGCTGCTTGTACTGGTTCGGACTGATGCCGATATATAGTGCTAGCCCACAGAGATACCATGCCGCAGTTTAACATGAATAGCCCCTCAATGCCGAGCGCCAGACAAGGTAACAACAAGTACCTTCTTCTAACGTCTGTTGGTATTAAGCGGCCAGGGACTGAACCCCGGATCTTCCGCTCCCCTGGCGGCGCTCTACCGCTATACCATGGAGGGGGTCCAGATACGACAAGATAAGATAATTAAATAATATAAAAATGCGATAAGATGAGATGAAATAAAATATAATAAGATTTAATAAAATCAATAATGTCTATAAATTAAAATAAAAGATGTATATTTCTTCGCAGGATATGCTGGAAGTCTTATAAAGCGTCTTGTAATAAGGCGAAGTGAGGTGAAATGGGGTTTAACGTCGGGTCCAAGATTATTGCACTTATTTAGCGACGTGCATGCACGCGCGTGTGTGTGTGGCTGCTTGTACTAGTCCGGACTGATGCCGATTTATAGTGCCATGCCGCAGTTCAACATGAATACCCCACTCAGACACAGTATACTGACTCCGAGCCGACCAGTCCTTATTTTAGCCCCTTAATGCCGGGCGTCAGACACGATAACAACACGTACCATCTTTGAACGTATTTTGGTATGATCGCTCTCCGGGCGGACGCCCTACCACTAGACCACGGAGGCGAAGTAAAGTAAAGTAAAGTAAAGTAAAGTAAAGTAAAGTAAAGTAAAGTAAAGTAAAGTAAAGTAAAGTAAAGTAAAGTAAAGTAAAGTAAAGTAAAGTAAAGTAAAGTAAATGAAGCAGTATACGTGATGTTTTTAGTTTTGAAAACTACTACTACTACAAGTCATATACTAGTTTGTCGGAAAAGGTTTAAATTCACGTACCAGGTACAATCGCTTGGCAATCTGAAACCATAAACGGGATAAATAGGACTCCACTAACAAACTAAACAGTCACCGGAATGGTATGGGAAACAAATCTCGCAACTGAGGCTTGTGTGTTATTAAGGAGTGGGAAAATAGGTTTAACGCCGCTTTTAACAGTATTCCAGTTACATCAGGGCATGTCAGCTTACTGTGGGAGAAAAGCCCTAAGGGATGCATTTCTCACACGCCTCGCAAACCGTCGAGCACGGGTATGGTGCTGACAAAACTAGAAAAACGGCGTAATAAAGAATGGGTTGTACACTTCAGAACCGAAAAATGTTTGTAGGCCGATGATCCATATTGATGTGTTTTTTTAATTATTTTTTAATACTATTTTCTGTTGTGTATTACAATTTTAATACGTATGTAATAGCATATTATGCTACTTTAAAATGTTTTATCAATATTTTGTATTTATATCGACCTATCCGAACGAATCGACATGTTTCCAAAGTTTCGGACCTAAACGAACCAATAAAAACCAGGTGGATGAGAAGTTCAGCCTACCTTGTTTGATTTCCTCGAGTGGTTCCCCGGGGACCTTGCACTTTAGGGTGGTACAGGGATCTACCCGTCTCTCGTATCCCAGGTCGCGACACACCTCTCCGTCAGGGCAGGCCTCTGTCGATGAAAACATGGAATGCATGTTGGTGAACGCACGGTACACGTGGATGTACATAGTGTCAGTGAAGGCATGGAATACGTGCATGTACATAGTGTCAGTGAAGGCATGGAATACGTGGATGTACATAGTGTCAGTGAAGGCATGGAATACGTGGATGTACATAGTGTCAGTGAAGGCATGGTATACGTGGATGTACATAGTGTCAGTGAAGGCACGGAATACGTGGATGTACATAGTGTCAGTGAAGGCACGGTACACGTGGATGTACATAGTGTCAGTGAAGGCACGGTACACGTGGATGTACATAGTGTCAGTGAAGGCATGGAATACGTGGATGTACATAGTGTCAGTGAAGGCATGGAATACGTGGATGTACATAGTGTCAGTGAAGGCATGGTATACGTGGATGTACATAGTGTCAGTGAAGGCACGGTATACGTGGATGTACATAGTGTCAGTGAAGGCACGGAATACGTGGATGTACATAGTGTCAGTGAAGGCATGGAATACGTGGATGTACATAGTGTCAGTGAAGGCATGGTATACGTGGATGTACATAGTGTCAGTGAAGGCACGGTTCACGTGGATGTATATAGTGTCAGTGAACGCACGGTACACGTGCATGTACATAGTGTCAGTGAAGGCATGGTATACGTGGATGTACATAGTGTCAGTGAAGGCACGGTATACGTGGATGTACATAGTGTCAGTGAAGGCACGGTACACGTGCATGTACATAGTGTCAGTGAAGGCATGGTATACGTGGATGTACATAGTGTCAGTGAAGGCACGGTACACGTGGATGTACATAGTGTCAGTGAACGCACGGTACACGTGCATGTACATAGTGTCAGTGAAGGCATGGTTTACGTGGATGTACATAGTGTCAGTGAAGGCACGGTATACGTGGATGTACATAGTGTCAGTGAAGGCACGGAATACGTGGATGTACATAGTGTCAGTGAACGCACGGTACACGTGCATGTACATAGTGTCAGTGAACGCACGGTACACGTGCATGTACATAGTGTCAGTGAAGGCACGGAATACGTGGATGTACATAGTGTCAGTGAACGCACGGTACACGTGCATGTACATAGTGTCAGTGAAGGCATGGTATACGTGGATGTACATAGTGTCAGTGAAGGCATGGTATACGTGGATGTACATAGTGTCAGTGAAGGCATGGTATACGTGGATGTACATAGTGTCAGTGAAGGCACGGAATACGTGGATGTACATAGTGTCAGTGAAGGCATGGTAAACGTGGATGTACATAGTGTCAGTGAACGCACGGTATACGTGGATGTACATAGTGTCAGTGAACGCACGGTACACGTGCATGTACATAGTGTCAGTGAAGGCACGGAATACGTGGATGTACATAGTGTCAGTGAACGCACGGTACACGTGCATGTACATAGTGTCAGTGAAGGCATGGTATACGTGGATGTACATAGTGTCAGTGAAGGCACGGTATACGTGGATGTACATAGTGTCAGTGAAGGCATGGTATACGTGGATGTACATAGTGTCAGTGAAGGCATGGTATACGTGGATGTACATAGTGTTGGTGAAGACACTGATGTACACATGGTCGGTAAAGACACTGATGTACATAGGGTCGGTTAAGACAAAGTAGAGTAAGTAAAGTCATGGTATCGATAGAGGTACATGTCCGAAAGTATCGTCAACCTTTCCCAATCACCAGTACGAATCTGATTTCGGGTGGATGAGACGTTCAGCCTACCCTGTTTGATTTCCTCGAGTGGTTCCCCGGGTACCTTGCACTTTAGGGTGGTACAGGGATCTACCCGTCTCTCGTATCCCAGGTCGCGACACACGTCTCCGTCAGGGCAGGCCTCTGTCGATGAAAACATGGAATGAATGGATCGGTGAAGACGTTGATGTACACTGGATCGATAAAGATAAGTTATACGTTGTACACAGGTTGTTTTCTTACGTGTTAAAACACCGAAACTAAAAGAATAATTTTCATTGCCTAATCGCCCGAGATGCGAAAAATACAACTTCAACTTCATTGGTAAACACAATAATAAGTGTTCAAGAGATGAATTAATCAAATGCACCCTATGTAGACTCAGGCAACAGCAAACAGTTTATAAAAAGACACACACATTACAAATTGTGTGACCTTAACTTAAGAAGTAATATGTTACCGTGTGGTTGTGGTGAGAATGACGTCACTACTCTTGTCCCGTTGGGTTTCTTGTAGTTGTATAAGGAACACGTATACCGCCGGCACCCAACAGTCACCACACCCTGCCGGGGCACACACGCCCCTTCATACTCACAACCTGCAACGTCAAAAAGAATATAAGTAGAACATTCCTATGTTATTAGCTGCGTTGTGAAGATTCTGCGTCTGAAGTTTATCCAGTCGAAATTTGTTTGTTTGTTTCCTTAACGCCCCATTACGACAATATTACAGCTACATGACGATGGTCTGTAGATAACTGAGTCTGGATCAGACAATCCAGGGATTGAAGCCACGAACATTGATCTTCGCAATTGGGTTATCATGAAATGCATCAGCCAAGTCAGCGAGTCTGACCATCTGACACTTACAAGCATCGGTTGCTTAGACCTATTCTAACCCAGGTCTTAAAGGGCACCCAGTAGAAGTTTGCAGTGGAAACTCAAGTACAGAAGATTGGATGTGTGACTTTTTATCTGTTTGGCTTTTATTGTCGGATAGTTACTGATAGTCCGCTTGTAAAGCGCATAACTCCACATGCAATGTATGTTGGAAGAGCGGCATTATTATCACTTCGTCAATTGATTACTCGATGTCGCATTCTCAGTTCCATCAAGCTACCTGCGAGGCGCTAGAACATTAACAGCCACATCACCATCTCATCTTACCGCGTGCTCATTCACTGGGTGAACAAAGTCACCTGTCCAATGAAACGTCATGGGCTTTAACGTGGATAGGAGCGAAGCCCAAGATTCAGCTCTTAGGAGTCAAGCTGCAAACACGGTCACCCATCCGAGGACTCTCCACGACCAACTTCGCCTGACCTGTGACCTGTGCGCTGTACACAAGTACAAGGCCACGTACCTCCATATCTAGACATCAATGTATCCTTTCTACAGAATCGACAGTCATGTACCCATTAAACAAATGTTTTATACCCAATAGTTCGACCTATAACCAAACATACAACCGCAATATACCTACACCAATAGTTCGATTGGAGATGATTTTGTTATAGTTTTGTCACAAGGCCAGTAATTACAATTAAGAATGGTGTGTGATACACTTCAGGAACACACGGCGCTGTATATATCATGGTGGTCCAGGCTTGTGTGTGATACCTACCGCTGTATAGGCTGTTGTATTGGCAGTAACTGTCAGGGGAAGCACATGGTTAACTACTAGTAAAATAGAATTTAATAGTGTTCGGCGGCTATTAATTAATTATGACTAATTAAAACTATGCGCCATTGTGTGAACATGGAAGGCTTTGGGGATGGACAATTTCAAGAAGGCGCGTTGTACCTATGTAAGAAGCCTTTTTGGGCCTGACCACTCTGTCTCCAGAACACCTGGGTGTATATATCATAATGACACACTCGTATGTGTAATATCTATCACTCTCTTCAGAACACTTAGCTATTATATATCATAATGACACTCTCGTATGTGTAATATCTACCAATCTGTTTTTAGAACACCTGGCTGTATATATCATAATGACCTCATCGGGAATGTGACACCTACCGCTGTGTCTCCAGAACACCTGCAGTCCCCGGATGGTACACTTGAGGAACACACAGGGCTGTATATCGGGGATTGAGAACTGGAGATGACGGGCGTGCGGTGTCCCATCAGCTAGGTAACACGTCTGTTTGTCATCACTCAGAGTGGCCCGAACGAAAACTGGAACATACATGCTTGCAATAGATAACTTTTAAATCCACAGGAAAGGTAAGGATCATGTACAGCTTGTGGGCATTGATTCACTCGACAATGTGAAGTAGAGCATAGGGGCCCCAGAGCAAGGACATTCTAATCCCCATGTCAATATCCCCTTTTGAGTATATTAACCAACATTTTAAAAAAGGAAACAAGAAACAGGCAGTGGAACTCACCATCCAAGCGGGTCAGTTCAGGTGGATGCTGGCAGATCACACAAGTTGCCATGACGGCAATGAACACAGCTGCGCACAAGGTGGTCGCGCTCATTCTGAAACAGAGAAAAAAATAGAAAAACAACAAGACTTAACCTCCATGGAGATAAAGGTGTTAAACGCAGAGCAGCCAAACAGATTTTAATACGTCATTGAAGTACTCATTGAAAGAAATACGTCATTAGGTGTCCTTTGGTACCCGGACTTTCCAAGTAACTGCTGCAAAGAAATGAAATGCTCCTCCAATTGCTCGCAGAACAGCCCCATCACTTGATATTTCCAAGTCAAGACTTAAATAATTTGGTTCGATAACTCAAACATTTAACATTTGTTTGAGCATCCTTCCTTGCGTGGAAGTTAACAAATTGTTAGAAATATTTTTGAACGGAACAACCAAAGAAGGAAGCCTGTGTCAGCCAAAGAAGCAAACCTTTGTTTGCAGAAACAGTCATGAACGTTTTAAGGTTGATTATCCTGCATTATTCGACATGGTGACAGGGCCAAATATGGCCTCCAAGATTCATCGGATCGACTTGAAAGTTGTTGGTGAGTATGTTTATTGTCCGATACGTGTAATAACAACCGGTCGTAAGTATGTAAGTCGCCTCTCATACGACACTCATCAAGCCTGACCACCAGTTCAATGTAAGACGCCTCTCACACGACACTCATCAAGCCTGACCACCAGTTCAATGTAAGACGCCTCTCACACGACACTCATCAAGCCTGACCACCAGTTCAATGTAAGTCGCCTCTCATACTACGCTCATCAAGCCTGACCACCAGTTCAATGTAAGTCGCCTCTAATACTACGCTCATCAAGCCTGACCACCAGTTCAATGTAAGTCGCCTCTAATACTACACTCATCAAGCCTGACCACCAGTTCAATGTAAGTCGCCTCTAATACTACACTCATCAAGCCTGACCACCAGTTCAATGTAAGTCGCCTCTAATACTACACTCATCAAGCCTGACCACCAGTTCAATGTAAGTCGCCTCTAATACTACGCTCATCAAGCCTGACCACCAGTTCAATGTAAGTCGCCTCTCATACTATACTCATCAAGCCTGACCTCCAGTTCAATGTAATCGCCTCTCACACGACACTCATCAAGCCTGACCTCCAGTTCAATGTAATCGCCTCTCATACTACACTCATCAAGCCTGACCTCCAGTTCAATGTAATCGCCTCTCATACGACACTCATCAAGCCTGACCTCCAGTTCAATGTAATCGCCTCTCATACTACACTCATCAAGCCTGACCACCAGTTCAATGTAAGTCGCCTCTCATACTACGCTCATCAAGCCTGACCACCAGTTCAATGTAAGTCGCCTCTAATACTACACTCATCAAGCCTGACCACCAGTTCAATGTAAGTCGCCTCTCATACTACGCTCATCAAGCCTGACCACCAGTTCAATGTAATCGCCTCTCACACGACACTCATCAAGCCTGACCACCAGTTCATTGTAAGTCGCCTCTCATACTACGCTCATCAAGCCTGACCTCCAGTTCAATGTAATCGCCTCTCATACGACACTCATCAAGCCTGACCACCAGTTCAATGTAAATCGCCTTTCATACTACGCTCATCAAGCCTGACCACCAGTTCAATGTAAGTCGCCTCTCATACGACACTCATCAAGCCTGACCACCAGTTCAATGTAAGTCGCCTCTCATACTACGCTCATCAAGCCTGACCACCAGTTCAATGTAATCGCCTCTCACACGACACTCATCAAGCCTGACCACCAGTTCATTGTAAGTCGCCTCTCATACTACGCTCATCAAGCCTGACCTCCAGTTCAATGTAATCGCCTCTCATACGACACTCATCAAGCCTGACCACCAGTTCAATGTAAATCGCCTTTCATACTACGCTCATCAAGCCTGACCACCAGTTCAACGTAAGTCGCCTCTAATACTACGCTCATCAAGCCTGACCACCAGTTCAATGTAAGTCGCCTCTAATACTACGCTCATCAAGCCTGACCACCAGTTCAACGTAAGTCGCCTCTCATACGACACTCATCAAGCCTGACCACCAGTTCATTGTAAGTCGCCTCTCACACGACACTTACAAGCCTGACCACCAGTTCAATGTAAGTCGCCTCTCATACGACACTCATCAAGCCTGACCACCAGTTCATTGTAAGTCGCCTCTCACACGACACTTACAAGCCTGACCACCAGCTCAATGTAAGTCGCCTCTCACACGACAATCCACTCTATGTTCCTAGGCGCAACAAATCGATGTTTAGAGTTGCGTCGCGCAAGGATCCGAAGATCTGAGGTTCAAATCCAAGATTCCGACAATGATGATGTTTGGTTTGTCAGCACCATGCTGAAAGAACAAGTCCCTACGTCTTGGTTCTCTTATGACTTTCCTCCAACATATGAGTCCTAACCACGTGGTGTTAACCACTATGATAGTGTTGGAATAATGTTAAAAGGGTCTAAAAAGTAAGTCACTCCCTCACTCAGTAACACTATTGCCTACTGGAATGAAAGGTACTTAAATGAAGGTACCATAAAGGTACCTAGTGGTTAACAGCATAAAGTCATAATAACAATGTACCAAACCGGACACGATACGAAACATCCATTCCTAGCTGAAATATAATAGATGTTTAAACAGAACCTTTCCATAACACAATCAATTATATGTAAAATATGAGATACAAAATCAAAGACATAGTAAAGATACATGTATGTAATTCACTTCTAAACAACGCCAGGAGTATACGAAATAGTCACAGAACAAGGGAAAACATCTCACCTGGTAAGACCCGCACAAGATTGCATACCTGGCGTCTTACCTGCTTCTGCAGGATGTGGGTGGTTGGCACAGAGTGTTGAGGACAGAGTGCGAATAATATGACTTCATTCAATTGGTATGTAAATATTTTATTGACCACATCCAGTTATGTTCAATCTGTCGCCAATGGAACCATGACCTTTCATACATGTTTGACGACGTCTAACGTAGATATATTGGACTGTGTTGTCGATATATAGTAAGGTAGGTCCTAATGAACGGATTATCTTACGGTACATCAATAACAAATTTGAATAATATGCTTCATGCTGACCTCCAATGCAAAGCTAGTTGGTCCGAAAGAAATCTAATACTGACTTTTGGTTTGTTATCACAGATAAAGCCTGATAACGACCTTTAGTTTGTTATCACAGATAAAGCCTAATGACGCCCTTTGGTTTGTTATCATAGATACAGCCTGATAACGATTTTTGGTTTGTTATCACAGATAAAGCCCGATAACGACCTTTAGTGTGTTATCACAGATAAAGCTTGATAACGACCGTTGGTGTGTTATCACAGATAAAGCCCGATAACGACCGTTGGTGTGTTATCACAGATGAAGCCTGATAATGACCTTTAGTTTGTTATCATACATAAAGCCTGATAACGACTTTTGGTTTGTTATCACATATAAAACCTGATAACGACCTTTAGTTTGTTATCACAGATAAAGCCCAATGACGCCCTATGGTTTGTTATCATAGATAAAGCTTGATAACGACCGTTGGTGTCTTATGACATATAAAGCCCGATAACGACCGTTGGTGTGTTATCCCAGATAAAGCCTGATAACGACTTTTGGTTTGTTATCACAGATAAAGCCTGATTACGACTTTTGGTTTGTTATCACAAATACATAAATGATAATGACCTTTGGTTTGTTATCACAGATAAAGTCTGAAAACGACTTTTGGTTTGTTATCACAGATAAAACCAGATAACGACCTTTAGTGTGTTATCACAGATAAAGCCTGATAACGACATATTATGTGCTGTCATTAAATAGCGTACAACCAATCCACTGTGTACTGCTGCTGTAATTAATGTGCAGTAATTTTTATTGATTTGTAAACCAAGTGAACTTTTGTTATACATTTGTTGGTTGTTTGTTGGTTTCTCACTAAGTTCTTTTACGTACAGATTTCTGGGTTAACATATTGTTTCAATCTGGGAATCGACAGGTGACACCATAAACATCTTCAGAAGGAATATTTTCACAACACAGCTTACTTTTAGTTGTTTATCTGTGCGCTTGTGTTTGTTCTCTCAATTTCTTCTGGCTACCAGGTATCTGTGGGGGTGGAGATCTTTACCTACCGCGTATCTGCGGGTGAAGAGACCCCCTAGCTACTGGGATTCTGCGGGTAAAGAGACTTCCTACCTACCGGGTATCTGCAGATATGGAGACTCCCCTACCTACTGGGTATTGGCGGGTGTAGAGATCCCCCTACCTACCGGGCATTGGCGGGTGTAGAGATCCCCCTACCTACCGGGGATTGGCGGGTGTAGAGATCCCCCTACCTGCCGGGGATCATGTCTACAGGTATCGAAGGGTGTAGGGTTTCATGTCTACAGGTATCGAAGGGTGTAGGGTTTCCTGTCTACCAGTATCGAAGGGTGTAGGGTCTCCTGTCTACCAGTATCGAAGGGTGTAGCGTTTCATGTCTACCAGTATCGAAGGGTGTAGGGTTTCCTGTCTACCAGTATCGAAGGGTGTAGGGTCTCCTGTCTACCAGTATCGAAGGGTGTAGCGTTTCATGTCTACCAGTATCGAAGGGTATAGGGTCTCCTGTCCATTGGTATAGTTGGGTGTAGGGTCTCCTGTCTACCGGTATAGGAGGGGGTAGGGTTTCCGGTGTACCGGTATCGAGGGGTGTAGGGTCTCCTGTCTACAAGTATCGAAGGGTGTAGGGTCTCCTGTCTACAAGTATCGAAGGGTGTAGGGTCTCCTGTCCATTGGTATAGTTGGGTGTAGGGTCCCCTGTCTACCGGTATCGAGGGGTGCAGGGTCTCCTGTCCATTGGTATAGTTGGGTGTAGGGTCCCCTGTCTACCGGTATCGAGGGGTGCAGGGTCTCCTGTCCATTGGTATAGTTGGGTGTAGGGTCTCCTGTCTACCGGTATAGGAGGGGGTAGGGTTTACGGTGTACCGGTATCGAGGGGTGCAGGGTCTCCTGTCTACAAGTATCGAAGGGTGTAGGGTTTCCTGTCTACCACTAAATGCCAACACATTATCAAATTCCTTTACAGGTTTACATCTACTATTTTCATGTGTTATAGTTACATTTTGGTCTTTACTTTTTGATGAATAAATCTATATTTAAATATATAAAAAATATATATTATTCAAAAGCATGATGACATTTGCCAAATCTTCCCTATAGCAAACTGGGGCATATGTTTCATATTTCATGAGTAATCAAAATGTTCGGCACCTTATTAATTCCCATAATCTTTATTACAGCATTTGCGTCGTTGAGAGTATTTCTCCAGGATCGGGAGATATTCTTAATGAACTTTCATACTTTAGAAAAGTGCCCATGGCATTAAATGTTTCCTTAAAAACACTGGGAACAAGGGAAACAAGGGAAGTATACTTTCATCATTGCAAAGATTTTTTTTAATTGTGTAAATACTCCTTAGTGTACCAATTATGGAAAGTAGAATGTGGGTATGAAAACTGATATCAGCGCTTATTAACTGTCAAGTGCTGGCTTTCATTTGTCCATTGCAAATCACCTTCCAGAGACAAGTAACTGTTGACTTCCCTTGTTAAGTTTCCACCTTTGTTATTTTATTACTTTTGTTGTACTTACAGGCACATATGATTAAGTAGTAGGTATATACTCCGAAACGTTGTTTTTCCTCATAATAAAGTAGTTGATATCCATAATTATATTCTCTTCCCCTGGTGGTTTTGCCAGAGTGGTTCAAATGATATCTTTTCTAAATGTAGTTGATCAGTTTTCTGGCGAGATCTCCATCTCTTCCACGAATAGAAAGCATTTTCCCAACTGGGTTAATAACAGTGAAATATGTTTTCAATATTGGCTCCCAATAAGGCAAAATCTTTAATTGGGACACGCTCGGGTAACTGTAAATTTGTTTCCACAATATCATTAATAGTTGAAATCTTCAGTGAGTCAATAAGATTCCTATTTGCCTTGTACACTCTTAATCTTGTCAGGTTTGCTATTCCAAAGGAAATTGCATACGATTCTCTCTAGTTTATCAGTAAAAGACTTTGGGGGTGAGTCACGGCCGTGAAGATATGCACAGGAGTAGAAAGTGTTAATGTTTTTTTCATCATTTTTATTTTATCGATTAATGTAAGATTTCTTTTTCTCCAATTTCTCAAAATACTTAAAATAGTTTGATTTTTTTTGTCTGGTATTAACTACCCACAATGCATTCAATTGAGCATTAAGTTGCAATTTCAAGATGCTATATTGAAATTTCAAGATACTTAGTTGGAATTTCAACATAGCATCTTGAAATTTCTATTGAAGCCTTTGAGGGCTTTTTGTTTATCATTTTTTATTGAAATGACAAGATACATACTGAGCTGAAATTTCAACTAAATGATCCTGAAAATGTCAATATAATAAGTTTAAATTTTAGGATTCTAACTTATAATTTCAACGTATGTATCCCGTGATTTCAAGATGCTAAGTTGAATTTTCAAGATGCTAAGTAGACTAAATTTTAGCTTCGTATGTTAAAATTCAAGAAGAAAATAAAAAACAACTGGCCCAACAAGGTTCCGTGAGCTCAATACATTCAACTAATGTATCTTCAACTTCAACTCCGTGTTTTGAAATTTCAAGAAAGGTAAATAACCAAACTGGCCCTAAAAGACTTTCATAGTATAGACAAAGTGTAGCGTTTTTAGGATACTTTCGTGTTTGCGCCAGCTTTGCTTTGCATTAATGTTAATACTGTCTATCGACATAATGGCAGATAGGAATTAAAGTCTTCTTTCTTCCGCCAAGACAATTGTTTTGTCTGCCGGAAAGAAGAAGGTCGGTGGTTCAATCGCCTAGCCACAAAAAAGACTTTTAAAGATGGTACTATTGTTACCCTGTCTGGCGCTCGGCATGAAGGGGCTAAAACAACGAATGTCGACTCGGAGTCAGTCTGGGGTATTCCTGTTAAACTGCGGCATGGTATCTCATTGGGATAGCACTGTAAAACCAGCATTGCTCCGTACTGGCACAAGCAGCCACACACAGACACGTCGCTATATAAGTGCAATAATCTTGGACGCTACGTTAAACCTCATTTCACCTCACCTTAATTGTGTGGGTTTTTCATACAGGATGAAACATTTTTTGTGATTTACGAGGCGGTGTTGTTTGTTTGTTTGTTTAACACCAGCTACATGACGGCGGTATGTAAATAATCGAATCTGGACCACACAATCCAGTGACTGACATCATCAGCATCGATCCACGCATTTGAGATGCGATGACATACAATCAACCAAGTCACCGAACCTGACCCCCCGATCCAATATACAACCCACCCTAGGTTATTGCGCAGCTACACTGCTTTAAGGAGTTGAATAACACATCACATGACATTTATACATGTCCTATATTGACATAAAAACATTCGTGTGTACATTACCTTTTTTGAGTGGTGTATAGCCTTACCCAGAATCCCGGATCTGGTAACAGCGATCATCAGAGTCCATTAACATCAGAAACATCATCGGAGGTCTCGGAGTGCTTTTTATGTATCCGCCCGATTGAATAAGCCACCATTTGTATGTTTAGTGTGAATAAAGAAAGTTGTACTGGTCTGTCACGGGGTCAGAATGGAGTAAGCACTTGGGAACCAGCGATGTCGTTTTGAATTTTATTGTGAGTATTTTATGTACGCTTCAGTTATTTTATCAGTTGCGACAAATAAAGATCGCAAAATTTAGAAAAGGTAAATAATGTTTTCTCGAATGGTGTGAGTATACGTTTGAGAAGTGGTTGATTAATAATGAGTACAAGAGACGCGTCTCACGTTAACTGGGACATATTAACATCGACTTGAGGGCTTGTCGTCGGTTCAGGTATTGCATGAACGAAAGAAAACAAGGGTTATCCCCCTTTGACCACGCTGAGCACTCAGAGCCACGCGTCGCCGTTGAAGAAATGAGCGGACGCAATGCCATTTTTTGGGTAACCATTTAGTTTTTTGCCAGTGAGTGAATTGGTTTTAACGCTGATTTTAACAATATTCCAGTTAGGTTGATGTGGGAGGAACGCCAGTAGTTTTATCTGATCATATCTGTTTCTTGTGTGGAGATTTAGGGAATCTAGAGCAAGAAAATAAATTACATTAATTGGTCACCTCTTGCTTTTGCCATATGACTGCCGTGTGTATAATGTCAAGCCTGCCATTCATGTCTTATATTGCGAATCCCACGTCAGAAACAAAAACGTGATTTGAAATTTCTATGATGTCAGCAAGCAATGGATGACGTTATATGTTGTCGATATATTTTACCAGAAGGTGGATTAAAAATAATGACTGAAAAGAATAGTTTTTCTTAATTGAAATATTGTTTGTTTGTTTGTTTGTTTGTTTGTTTGTGGTTTAACGGCTCAATATTCCAACTATGTGACGGCGGCCTGTAAATAATCGAGTCTGGACCAGACAATCAAGTGATAATCCAACAGCTTAAGCATCGGTCCACGCGATTGGGATACGATGACATGCATCAACCAAGTCAGCGAGCCTGACCATCCGATCCATGTCGTCGCCTTCTTACGACGAGCATAGGTTCCTGGGGAACAATTTTAACCCGGAATCTGAAAATAGAGTTAAAAAACTCGTCATAATTAATATAAGTTTTAGCTGCGAGAACCCGTGCGGGAAGCCCTGTATGCTGCAGCCGCCGCCAGTCAAAGCTCCTCGCCGTATATACATGTCTCCACATTTGGGTTTCAAGGGGGAAAATCACAATGGTGGCAACGATGCTACAGAGAGGAAGATAGCCCTGTTTCACTGAAGTATAAATAGTTGCGATTAACGCAGCTTTTAACAGTGTTTCAATTATCGTGTCATCTTGATTTGTGAGAAAAGCCCGAA